GTTTTTTCACTTACAAAGTCCGTCAAGTAAATAGCAAACCTGCCATGGCACGGCGTAACTGACTCTTAAAGGGAATAGAAGATGAGACTCTAATTTATTCTCAAAACACACCGCCAACTCATTAAGAGAATAAGCACAACCTTGTTAGACCATGTGCCTCGGCGCAAACTGTATTTTTCCGTCCTTAAAACTGCAAAAGTGGATTCAGACATGCCCTTAGGGCTCTATTTTGACGGTCCATGCGCAGATTGCAAAATGCAGGGTGCAAACGCGTTCAGGGCATGTCAGAACGCATTTTTGCTAACTTAAGGACGGGAAAATCCGCTTTGCGCCATGTCGCATGGTCTAAAAGGGTTGAGTTTATTTTCTTAATGAGTTATAGGTGTGTTTTGAGAATAAACCAATCAGAGTCTCATCTCCCATTACCTTTAAGAGCCAGCTGCGTCGCGCCATAAGCGCATTGCTATTTACAGGACGTAAAGTAAGTTCACTTTCGCTTTTGCTTTCGTGGATAGGGAAACCTTACCGCACAGACATCAATTAGCCTATAAATAATTAATTTCGTTTGTTAAGCGCAAAGATTTGTTTCAAAACTATTTCTAAATTCAGTTCTAATTTCCAGCAAACGAATAAATGAACAATAATAACAAAGTGTGGTCAAAATACTGAGTTATTTACAAATACACCTGCCATGCCCCATATGGTCTAAAACCTGACAGGTGGGCAAATCTAAGCTTGTTTTTAATAAAACAAATATAAATATGGATATAATAAATAATACTGCTAATAATAATAACATTATACAAAAGCAAATTAAATGAACTGAAAAAGCCTCCCGAGATGAAGAAAGAATGACAGCAGTGGTTTTTAAATTCATGTAGGCTAGAAATTAATGTTTTGTAATATTTTAATCATTTATATTTATATCCTATATATATCCTTATTATACATATCCTTAAGATATTATATCTTTTTCATATGTAAAGATATTTGCATATTGCTCTACATCTTGTGTGTAGTGTGTAAGCCAGGCGCACTTTGCGCCAGACAATAGACCGACTTTGTTCTGGTCTAAAGAACAGACTATTTACAGTTTCTCAAAATAGCAACGCACCAAATCACGCCTGCTTTTTTAGACCAGAACACCTACGGGCGCACATATGAGCGCAAATGCATTTGCTATTTAAACAGTGTGGCGCGACACCTCAAAACGACCCTTGCGCCAAGCTTAAAGTAGCAAAAGACTATTGCGCCACGCCTTCCGCCACATTGCGCCGGGTGTATGATAGGCCCCTAATGCTTTTGCGCCACACGCTAGACTTTGTGCCTAGATTATCAAAATAGAGCTCCTAGTTTTAGTTTACATTTACTTAACAAAAACCCTGCTCCATATACAATATTAACAAAACTCTTAAACAAAAAAAAGGAATTCAAGCATCACATACAGCCTTAATATCTGACATTCAATTACATAATTTAGTTGAAAAACAAATGTATATATGAGTACTGTACAAGTCATAGCAATCATTTAGATCTTTTAAGAAACGTCACTTAAATAAATAAAATACCTGTGAAATAAGTAAATTAAAATGTATCATATTTTATAATAAAATTATGAACATAAATCGCAAAAATCCAAAAAGTTTCTTTCCCTCTCCACTGAATCCATGTTTTAACAATGTGTTTATTTTCTTATTAATTAGCATAATTGTTCTGATGCTGCATAAACATTGATTAACGGTATACACATTTTTTTAACAAGCATTTTTAACAAGCTTCACATGTTATCAAACCCAAAAGCTTGCCTTTGCTAGTGACATGCTGTAATATTGCAGCTACAGGAAGGCTGTATTGTGTGTTTACTGACACGGATCTCTAATGTTGTCAATCAGATGGGGAAATACTCCTCCTAAAGCCGTGCTGCCCTTTAGACGTGACGTGATTCCTGCGAGGTTTAGTGTAAGAACCACCTGCCGCAGCAGTTGGACTGGATTTGTGGGATACGGAGAAAGACGGCAGGATTGAGTCAGAGGGCTGAGTTAGGCTAAGGTGTTCCCTGGTTATGGATCAAAGTGCTAAGGAACTCCAGATGGTTGGGACGGGTAGCCTGAATTATTTCTTAATGGAAGCTAATGGGCCATGAACACACTTGGCCCGAGACACAGTGAAGCGTGCCGGTGGTGAAACAATAACTATTTCCCTGGACGTGGATCTGTCGGTTTTCCGTATGTGCTGAGACTTTTAACTCCTCCAGCGTTTGTTGTGTGGGATGGCTGTTGCTTACTTACAAGGGATCAAGGGTGACCAGATGGCAGTTTGTAGGCTAATCCGTACACCTGGTGTGTCGGTAGGGCAAAGGATCAAACCCTGAAATGATATTACTGATGGGAACTTTAAAAAAGGGGGGTTGTTTAAATATACAGAAGTTGAGCTTTTAGGGCAGTTGTTATTTTTAGCATGCATAAATATGTATGTGCAGACTTTTTAAACAGAAATAATATTTTATAATGAATAAAAATTTTATATTATGAATGAGAATTACAGTTTTTTTTCACAAAATGACAAAAAATGGTCAAATTAACAAATGTTTTCAGTTGTTGTGTTTAAAAAATCAGGGCAATTTCAACAAATAATGTTGGTCTGTCAGGGTAAAGGATCAAACTGAAATAAATTTCGCAATGGGAACTTTGAAAAAAGGGTTGGGTAAATATACACAAGTTCAGCTATTATGGCAGATGTTGTTTTTAGTGTTTATAAATAGGAATGTGAAATTAAGAAATTATAATTATAAATGACATAACTTTTTTTGCACAAAATGACAATTGGTCAAAAAATAAATGTTTTTAGATGTTGTGTTTAAAAAAAATCAGGGTAATTTCAACAAATAATTTTGTTGTGTCAGTGTTAGGTTTGTCACGATACCATTATTCATGTTACAATACTATACTCGATGAAGTATCTTGATACTAAATAGTATTGCGATACTGTAATACATAACTCAAATCTATGAAATAGAGAAAAATGTCAGAAACACTATATTTTATGTTATAATAGGCCTAGTTGAATTGAATTCATAATTCCCTTATTATTAACAAAAAGTATTTGCACATCACTTCATCAAAAATGCATTATGTCTTTTTGTTTATTTTGTAGATATCTGACTAACAAAAAATACATTCAAAAAAAGATACAAATTATACAGAACAAAATTCATTACAAAAAGAGCATTTTTCCAAGAAAATTGGGCAATATGAAGTGGTCAAAAATAGTTTCAATGTTTCCTGTTGCTCTTTTGGGGTTTTTCATGCATTGTTGTTGGTTTGTTTTTAAAGGATTTTTGCGGTTGTTGTAGCTACTAAAGCATCAGAAAACGTGCAATAGGTTACCATACAAGGCATGAATTCTGCAAAGTTTTGCAACCTTAAAGGGCTCTACAGACTATTCAAATAAAAATGTATTTTAGTGACTTTTCCAAATGCAACATTATGTATTGTATATAGACTGTTAATGATGATATACCATCTATCTATCTACCTACCTACCTACCTACCGACCCACCTACCTACATACCTACCTCCACACACACACACACACACACACACACACACACACACACACACACACACACACACACACACACACACACACACACACACACACACACACATATATATATATATAAGGGGTGTGAACCTACACTGGTCTCATGGTTCAGTTTGGTTACGATTATCGAGCCATCGATTCAGTTCAATTCGATATCTATAGGGGCAGGCATTGACGATGCTTTTCATAAACAATTTGATATTTTACTTAGCAACACAATAATTCTTGTATTAAAATGTATAATTTATAAATATATTTATATATTTTTTGCAATACAATTTTGTCCTTTAATACAAGCAGTCAGATATATGTACTTTACCTTTATAACTTTACCTGCTCAAAGAAAATTCCTTGCTCTGTTAAACATTATTTAGAAAAAAAAAAAAAAAAAAAAAAATATATATATATATATATATATATATATATATATATATATATATATATATCACAAGAGGGCGAATAATTATGTATATCACAAACAACTACTGACCTATCATGCACAATAATAAACAATATTTTAGTCATTTCCATGGATATGTGGAAAAACAGATTAGTTTTTTTTTTAAACAATTATTTGTGATTATTTTTTCAAGCTTTAACAAAACATTTTGTACATTTAAGGTTGTAATTTCCCCCCATTTTTGAACATTGCCGCCGAAATGAATTAGCAAACAAAAAAAATTAAAATACAATTACAACAGGAATAGATATAAGTATAGCAAAATTTTAAATATTAATAATAATAGTTAATAAATAAATAAAAAGAATAAAATAATAATAATAGTAAATTAATAAAAAATAAATAAACTTTAAAAACAATTCAAATAAATAACTACCTATAGTACATGATAATATTAATAATAAATAATATTCTGTAACATTTATAGTGGTCTTTTAAATAAATATCAAACAAAACCATATTGTTGATGACAGTTAAACCTGTTTGCACACATTTATTTATATAAATCAGTTAAAGGAGAGTCTTACTTCTTTCAAAATATGTGATCATAGGTTGCCATGTTTTATAAAAATTTTGGACAGATCCCTTAATTAAATACTTAATTTTTTTTTATTTCAAATATAAAATCAGATCACACATCCACATTGAAGCTTTAGGTGAAGCTGCTAATTTCCACTCAAGTAGTATTCTTCTCCTTGCTAACAAAGTAGTGAAGACGAATAAATTTTTTTTCTTGTTTGTCAACAATATATTGCCCCAAAGATAGCTAACTTAACACTAGGTTTTATCTCTAAATTAAAGGCGTCATTTAATGTTTACAACAGATTAGTTTTAACAATACAGAACACATTAAGTATAGTGCAATGTTGTTGTCATGCTTCATTTTATATCACTCTTTGTTTGCCTTTTTATTAACTCTATTTATCTGTGTTTTTAGGAAAACCCATACCTGTGTAGTGACGAATGCGATGCCTCCACCAAAGAACTGGCTCATCCTCCAGAGCTGATGCAAGACAGCGAGCGAACCGGACTCATCACCTACTGGCAGACGGTAACATGGAGTCGATATCCTGAGCCTCTTCTGGCCAACATATCCTTATCCTGGAACAAAAGCCTTGAGTTAACAGATGACATCCAGATATCCTTTGAGTATGGTCGGCCCACAATAATGGTGCTAGACAAGTCTCTGAATTATGGACGAACCTGGCAGCCTTACCAGTACTACGCTGACGACTGCATGGAGGCTTTTGGGATGTTGGCAAAAAGAGTGCAGGATCTTTCGGCCACCAACGTGACCAGAGTTATATGTACCGAGCAATACTCTCGCTGGGTTGGTTCCAAGAATGAGAAGAACGTGCGCTTTGAAGTCCGGGAGCGCTTCGCCATATTTGCTGGGGCAAAACTGCAGAACATGGACAACTTGTACACACGCATGGAAAGTATGAAAGGTCTCCGAGACTTTTTCACCTTCACAAACCTACGACTTCGGCTGCTGAGACCGGCGCTCGGAGGAACATACGTACAGAAAGACAACCTTCTCAAGTATTTCTACGCCATCTCCAACATCGACATACCAGCAAGGTAAAGTTGCACAACACTATAAAGCTGTGTTTGGACAGCTGTTTTTATGTTAACATGTAGTGTCGTTTTTTGACAAAAAAAGTGTTGACGAGGGAGCATTGTTGTTTAAAAATAAAAAAGCTGGCAGCATTTTCGGTTACAGTAGAGTATTGCTGCCGTGTGTTGCAGAACGAGGAACGAGGAAGTTGGCATTTGCGTTGGTTTTGAAGTTAACAGGGAGGAGAATGTCTATTTGCAATGATGTTTGTGGGTACACAACATTACGATGGGGAAGAAAACATTATAGTGCTTATAACTATTTAGTAATTTAGGATTGGATGATGAAGGTACCCTAAAACTAGTATGATAATGATTTATCAGCAGCTTCCTTCCATTTTTTCATGTTGTTTTTGCTATTACTGAAATCTCTGTACTCACTAGTCAGTAGTTATGTTTCTATCCAAACATCTGAATTAAACCTATGCACAAAAATGCATTATTGCATTAAACATTTACCAATAATCCACAGTTTCCATCTAATTCAGGGGTGTCCAAACTCGGTCCTGGAGGGCCGGTGCCCTGGAGAGTTTAGGCCAACTTGCTTCAACACACCTGCCAGGAAGTTTTTAGCATATCTAGTAAGAGCTTGATTAGCTGGTTCAGGGGTGTTTGATTAGAGTTAGAGCTAAACTCTCCAGGACACTGGACCTCCAAGTTTGGACATCCCTTATTTAATTAGTCTAAGGGTGCTTTCACACCTGTGAATCGATTCAGTTGTTCCGAAACAGAGATTACAAATGTTACATTGTTGCTCTTTGCTCTTGGAGCGGTTCGCTTTCACACTGCAAAGTTTCTAATCGGACCAAAAGAGCTAAAACAAGTCACGTGTGAGTAAACTCTCCTCACATTGGTCAGAGTGTTAGGCTTTATTTTGCAGCATCCCGCTAAGCTGTCAGGAGAGGTGGTGGTCTGGTGGTGATTGACAGGGTGCACGCGCGACGTGTCTGAGGAGAGACGCGGTGAGGAGGGGTGAGAAGGGTGCGCAACGATGCCTATTTGAGGACCGGGAGGGAGACGCGAGATTACGGGGAGATCATCACTCGTTTGCGGGCATCCGGAGACTCGCGAAACTTCCCGCCCTACTCATAATTCTCTCTTCATATAGCCGTATGCCTATTACATATCCATAAAACACAGTGATATAACCGCGCTCGGATCGGATCGCTTTCTCACTGCAATCGAACCGAGACCACCTCATTCAAGCGATCTCGGAGTGATTACTTTGGCGCGGAACAGAGCGCGATTGCCCTGTTTACATATGCCAATCGCGCTAACTGGGCAAACAAGATACGTTCCGAAACAAAAGTGTAGGTGTGAAAGCACATTTGGTCCGGACCAAGGGTAATAAATGATACATTGTTGCATCTTCTGCTGTCTTTGGGTTGTTGGTGTTTGGGCACTGCTGGCTTTGGTCCGAACCAGTTGAAATGAACCAAAATGCCCTCATCTGACAAAATCCACATCTCTCATTGGCCAAATGTTATTGAACATATTTCCTAAACTGCTTATTGATTGGTCAGAATTCACGTGCGGGAAAATGCCAGTGAGCTCCCGCAGGTAAACAAAACCTTTTACTCTGGAGGGACGACTGCACTGGCTGATTGTATCCCTGCTTTAGACAAACTATACATTATGAAAATGAAGCGCGGCCGCAGCTGGAAAACAGTGTTTAATGCATCGCTCGTCACTTCAAGAGGAGACGTGAATTAATTCAGCTAAACTCCGATATGGTCATCTTGCGGAAATATTACCAACGATCCATCAGGTAATGTTTTCCCCTCTCTCCCTCTCTGTTGGTAAAGCGCTGTCAACAAATATTTTTCCTCCATATCCCATAATGCACAGCGCATAGGCCCACGGCAGCTGAATTAGTCCAAAACGCGCAGTACTTTTTGCGGTTGGACCTGTTTTAGTACGGATCATATTCTCACCACAAACGAACTGCTCCAGGGTTCGTTTGAAAGTGTACCGAGACCACCTCTTTAAGCAGGTCTCGGTACGCTTATTTGGTCCGCTTGTGGTGCGCACTCGAGTATGATTGCTGCATTCTCACCTGCCCAAACGAACCGTACCAAAAGGGGAAACAACTTCCTAAAAAAACTGTCGCCAAACATCAAAAAGAAAATTGGAATTTGTTGTGGTTGGAGAATCCACTGTGGGCCTTTTTTCTTATTTAATACATTTAGAAGACGAAATGCAATGAATGCAGTCATAACAAGTTTATGGAGGTGTGAGGCACTCTTTCTAAGAGCAGCCGCTCAAGACCAATCTGGGAGTTAATAATACTTAACCACTGTGATGACAGACATTGGCTGAAGCATTTTGAATGGCCAAAACAACATTTCAGATGTTAAGCAATGTGGTCAGTCTGCTGATTAGTCCATTAATGGTGTCTTATCCCAACCCAGTTCTCTGAATATGCCCTTTAAAACAAAATCACATTTTGGATCCACATGCTGGAATAAATTCAGTAAATGTGTTTTTATCTTACTTTATGCACATTTTTACTTATGGGATAAAAGTTTTTATGTGTATTTTCAAACCTTTTATGGAAAAAGGCATCTAACTTAGTTAGTTTCTTCAGAAATGTTAAACTTTTTACAACTAGAAAATGTGCTCTGAGCTGCTGAAAAAGCCACTGATGATGGGGTTCAAAAAGCTTTCTAAATGTTTTTGATTCACAGTTTACTCAATAGGAAAATCATGTAAACTGATGCTGGCAGCTTCAAAGAGGATGCCGAATGTGTATACAGTTGCCGAAAGCTGTATTTTATTTTATTTTTTGCCTAAATATATACAAAAACAAGTTATTAAGCAAGTACACAAGACATCAGTGTTCAACATACTCAGCTTACTTTACCCTATTCACAATGGAAGTTAATCATTTACAATTTGAGCTGTCTAGGGCTGTCTGATTTTGGGAAAGTTCAACCTTATTCATTTTTGTGTGGTTATCTCATGTCTCGTAAATATAGTGTTTTTCTACAGATCTACTTCTTGATGGCAGATTTTAGTCTATAAAAATCTAAACACCAATCATTGTTGACAATTGGGGGAATCACTTCACAAACCTAGAAAGCTCCAACTGTAGAGAGCCTGCAGTCGCAAAGGGAAAGCAACAGAGTAAATATCGGCAAGGATTTTGAGAGGTGATGACAACCCTAAGAGCTGAAGGGATTACAGACTTTTTTTATCTGCTGAACGTTTAAGACATTCAGAGATTCGGTAGCTAGCTATCATCAGAGCACTTGTTTACTTGATTCGGATACTGTATATATTGTTTTTTTAAGTGGGTGTACTTGTGATTATTTGATGCTAACTATTAGCAATAGCAGTTGTGCTCTGAGATCTAACTGAAAAAGTAGCAATACTTGTTTTAAAAATAAATTAAAGAGCACATAAAAAACTATACAAGTAATTTGCAATGTATTGTTTCAAACAAAGGCATCGATAGAAAAAGCAAAAGTTCCACAGCTTTGAACTCTAAGGCTGAATTTCAATACAAATACTTCCACACACAAAATAAGCATGTCTGAATTCATGGTATTCAAAAAAAGCAAAGGCAAAATCTAGATGATCAGCTACTTCTGTTGACATTTACACTTTCTAAATCAGAGAATTCTGAATGACAGAGAAGTGATGCAACTGATGCTATGAATTTATATGACAGTAGCAACTTGATGAATGTAGTATTTCTGTATTTCATTCACTACACAAAAAAATATTTTATAGAATATATTTTTGGAGCTCACAATGTAGTTACTGATCCATGATAGGTTCCTAATTTAAACCTAAGAAAAAGTAGACAAGGGCGAAGCAGTGGCGCAGTAGTGTTGTCGCCTCACAGCAAGAAGGTCGCTGGTTCGAGCCTTGGCTCAATTGGCGTTTCTGTGTTCGCGTGGGTTTCCTCTGGGTGCTCCGGTTTCCCCCACAGTCCAAAGACATGCAGTACACGTGAATTGGGTAGGGTAAATTGTCCATAGTGGTTGTGTGTGTTAATGTGTGTGTGTGGATGTTTCACAGAGATGGGCTGCAGCTTGAAGGGCATCCGCTGCGTAAAAACTTGGTGGATAAGTTGGTGGTTCATTCCGCTGTGGCGACCCCAGATTAATAAAGGGACTAAGCCGACAAGAAAATGAATGAATGAAAAAATGAAAAAGTAGACAGGAAGAATGCTATCACAACACAGCAGTAAAACAGTATATGTTGCTGTAAGAGTTTCATTTATTTAATTTTTTTTTTATTTTGGTTCGTAGTTCAATTAAATACTCACGTTTTATTATTCATGAGCAAATGCACCAAACCCTTATCTTTAACTCAGGCTCATTCTGAAAACGTATTGCTTTATACATTTCTGAAGATCGCGAAATACATCCTTGGAGGTACTGAATGTTTTTTTTTTTGCAGTTTTGTTTTCACAAATCCACCAGAGGCCGCTGTGTACACTTTTTGGGATCTCAAATTTCTATGGCAGGTGCCATTTGTGCCTGCTGTTCTCATGTAAATCCACAAAAGGCCGCTGTCGACTGACTGACTGAATGAATGATCGACTAACCCACCCTTCTCCTTCCTTAAACCCAACCAATAGTGTTTCAAAAAGCACTGACTGACCCGCTCACCCACGTCCCTAAACCCAACTGACAGTTTTAAAAAGCAAACCAAAAAAAAGCCCTTGCCTGATTTTTACCACGTTTCAGATTTCACCACATTCTCACCCAGTTATTTACTTGTTTCATTTTTTGGATTCTGTTTTTATCTTACCTATTTTCTGAAACCGTTCTTGACTGGACTTGAACCCCATCATCATGGTCAACTCCTCTTTGTGCCTCAAGTCCGCTGATGTACATGTCAATCTACTGGACAAACTGGTAACAGTGGGAAAGCTGTTTATACAAAGAGAAGCGGTCCGCTGGTAAGCGAGAAACGGAACAGCATCATACCACCCCGTAGCTTTTGTTTTA